ATTGGTTGTTCCAAAAAATACCTAATCGCCAATCAGCGTGCCTAAATGGTCGCGACCACCCTCCTCTTGCATCCTTAGCGCGCTACCTTGGAAAAGGGGTGGCGATGAGTTTGTTGTTGTCAAGTGTTTGACAAGAGCGCGGAATTTCCTCCAGGTTCGGACCGCTTCAGTGTTTTGACCATTACAGCTAAATAAGTCCCGAGTCACCCTTGAGAAGGCCAATTTTATGACGCGTTTTTGACTATTGAAAACGAGAGAAACAATCTTCTAAATCTCTGAATTGTAACCTAGCTTTCTCTCTCCAGCACATACTTTAATCCTCGAAAACGTGCTAATAATAAACCGAATCCCTAATCTCAAAAATAGCCCCTTTAACACGTCCGTGTCATAAACCGCTGCGCTAACAGCTTCATTATATCGTCATGAACTTCATTAATTCTTCAAAATTGAAAATAAACTTTCCCTGTACAGTCAAATATAAAAGTAGGTACAGCACGTCGAAATTTCTGCGGGACACAGTTGCACCGTACCACAAAATAGAAAAGTCGAGTACGGGGTATATTTGTCCCGTACCGTCAAATAGGAAAGTCTTGGAAAGAAGACATTCGCTACGGCCGTTCACGGTGAAATTCAACCGCCACAGACCATACTTGGATTTTAACCCTCCGTTAGACGTGTCGCAGAATGTGAGTCCGCAAGTTTGTTTTGCCCCCATAAATTAGAAAAACAGTATCTAGCCCAGTGACCTTCCGTATCTTTAATATATACTTAAAAACATGTTAAACGATAAATAAAGTAGTAAAATAAATTTGTTATTAATACAAAGGAAAAATTAGACAGAGATGGAAAATAAACAGAGAAAGAAACAACTAAACTTTGCGAAGTGTGAGTCCACAGGCGTGTTACGTTACAACGGAGGGTTAATAATTTTGCATAATATGACACATGTTTTTACACATGGTTTTACTATTAAAATGTGCTGGGTAAGCAAGCTCAGCTGTCACTTATTTCACCATGCAAAAGTATTTCTGCTGAATGCAGAGAAGACTTGATCTGTTTATCTTATCGAAAATTGAAACGTGATTCTTGTCACGCATACGTGACGCCAGTTAAGGGGTCATATACGTTTTACGATTTAAAAAAGTCGATATTTTTTACATATTTCGAAAGGTACACATCTTAGAAATATTTTAAGTTTAACGCGGACTCGAAATTCGAATTATTGAGAAAGAATGAAACGGATCGTGCCGCTCCACAGGCATCATTACAAAACTTTCAACGCGTTTTTCAAGACGGTGGGCACGATAACTACCTTACCGTTCATCCGATTAACTTCATCTTCCACACATACATATATACATATGTATATTCTAAATAAGATTTGCCATCGTAATAATAAGATTGTTGAATAACAAAAGAAAATGTACGGTCGTTTAAATGAAAATCATGACCCTTTTCTTTTTCAAATTATTGCCATTGCCGCAATTTTTTTGTTTGTTAAAACAACCCCCCTTCGCGAGCCGAGAACTGCGATTTCAAAAAGTGTTAAAAAATCAAAAATTTTTGTTCCCAATCACTCGTACGGGCTGAATGGTGCCTACAGTTTGGAACGGCGCCAAAAAAATAATTTCTCATTCGTATTTTTGACTCTATAAACATGTATTTTTATAATCCAAGAAAAATTAAACCAATTGACCTAATAGCTGGTCCTCCAATCACTCACAAACATTCACAACTTTTTAGTGTTGGAAAACGTATGTGACCGCTTAATGTTCGAAACACACACGAAATTCCATTGATTTAGCTATAATGATTTTGCCAAGTAAAATCTCAATGAAGCACTATTTAATACCTGGTATACTGTCTATATTTATGAATAAATGTAACACTCAGTGTATAATACAAGTTGTCTATTTGTTCGAATCACGCACGGGATTCTATTCTCGTGAAATCGCACTTGGGATTCTCTCTGGCGCTTCTCTGCTTCCCTATTTATGTCTAATTGTAAGTTGTAGGTGGCCGGTCGCTCAGAGGGTTGTCTTTAGGAAATGTGAGATTTTCCTGTCCGCTAGTTTTTACCACATGTGACACACCTGCGAGTGGTGAGAGTCAAATTTTGGCCAGAGTGGCGTTGGCTAAGTGAGAAATTTGCGAAAGCAAATTCAGAACGAGAAAGAGAAGACGGATTTTGCGGAGTCAGAAAGGAGTGGAGATTTCTTTGTCTACTGACTACTTAATTGCTAATTACTTAACAAACCTCTAAATCGATGTTCGTAAAAAATAGCTGGTTTTCGTCGTCTGTATCATAAATTTGTCCTGTGAACGGTCCTAACACATAAATTTATATTTTTCTGAATTAATTCGAATGCGTACTAACATATTTTTATATCGGATCGACGATCTCAAATAGATTAATTTGAAGATAAAGATATAAAAAGAAGTGTTTAAAATACTGTATGAAAACTTTCGTCAATTTTAGCCAAGGCAAATATGCGTGATGGTAGGATGGGGATTTTCCGTAAACGGCGAGGTGGACCTGCAAAAGTACCTCAATTTCCTGCCATTACCAACGCTTGAGACAGAAAAGTGCAATGCGACTAGCCACTATGCTGGATTCATCACGAAGGATAATATATGCGCTGGATTCACTGACACGGATAAAGGACCTTGCTACGTAAGATTATTCACTTTTTCACGCGAATTCTAAATGAACAAGTTCTTACCTTAAAGGGGATAAGAAGTTTAGATAAAAGAAAGTCACTTTTTATTTTACGTAATTTGCTACTTAAAATGACATGATTTATTAAAATCGAATGGACAGACAAAATTTTAATAGTGTTCCTCTGTTTTAATCACGATTTCCTGAAAGTTGACATTTTCAAACTTTGCACATTGAAACCAAATTATAATCTTGCTGGCAGATAAAACAATCGATATGTAAATTTTGCTATATCTCTACTAGCAACATTTTGTTATTAGAAAATTAAAAAAGAAATATTTTTTGAAAACTAATAATTTCAGTTTCAAGCAATATTTTTAAATTCTAACATAAATATGCATAAAAAGGACTAAAAAACATCTAGAGAAAATTTGTTGGAAGTATTTATAACAGTCTCTGAAAAAAAGGTATATAAACTAGTACAATTTAACATTGATAAGGTAGACCCCCCCACACATGCTTGATCATTCTTGTTAAGGAGCGTTCAGACCATCAATATATACACTACCGGCCGAAAATTTGAAATCACCTGCCAATTTATATTAATATTGAATCTGCTACTAATTCTTTATTGATTTGAAATTGATGTTGTGGAGATCAATAGCACTTTACCTCATTTCGATTGATTTGAATGATAAAAAATTCGTTGAAAAATTATTATAAATGCTAACATTTTTGGGGAATTTTTGTGCAACTTGCAATGCACAGTGATTCCAAACATTTGGCCGGTAGTGTACATATTGTCAATAGTTCAGGGTTCTCAACGCTAACTCGAAACTGAATGTATTTTCAATAAATATTGAACGGAAAATGCAATTTGTCAATACTGTATTGACAATATATCTATTGATCGTCTGAGGGTCACTTTACACGTACAATAATGTTGAGAACCCTGAAATATTGATCGTTTAAACTCCTCTTTAACGAAAGAAGTCAGAATACTAATTCGTTTCATTTTCTTCTTTATTCCTTCAGAACGACGAAGGAGCACCTCTAATGTGTGTCAGTGAATCAGGAGGAGGGTCAGCGAAATGGGAAATTCAGGGGCTACTCAGCCACCACAGCAGATGCTCAAGGGGCCACCCAGCAATTTATTCGAGCGTGGAACCGGCGTTATCTTGGTTACGACACTCCGTGCCTGCTTTGCAGACACAAAGCTAAAGTGCTACAACGTGGTTTCGTCCTTTTCACGAGAATACGCAAGCATTAGATAAATTGCATTTTGCAAATGAATCGACCACAATCGACGCGCTGAAAAATCATATTAAAGATAGAAACGAGAGAAATTTGCCGAGAGAGGAACTGTCAGATCGAACGTCGATGTTCCTGTTGAAATTCACGAGACGAAAATGATGTACTTAATTTATATCCGTCTTTTATTTTAAACGATATGTTCCTATTTAAATGCAAATGACGGATAGCAATGAATGGCGGCCATAATTCATTCTGCATTAGAAAAAAGACGTTCTAAAATGTAAATGATTTTTTTTTTCTCCCTGTCTACGATACCGATTAAATGGGTACTGCAATATTCCGTGGCGAGCTACGCACTCGCAAAAAAAAAAAAAAAAAAGAAGATGACGGAGATACATATAATTGGCGATGCACGATACTTATTTACAACTAAGAAAATTTGTAAATACTGTATAAAGCGACTGTTTAATATGCTTACCATTGTAAGAGATTTTTTACAGGTTTAGCGAATTAGGTCTCTTGAGAATGTTTTATAAGTAGGACCATGGAAAAAATATGGAACACGTTTATTATGCTGAATATCCAACTGGTTTTTTGTAATAATTGCATTTGATGAATTCCTACTGACATTCGCTTTATGGTTTGCTAGCTTGGAACCATATTAGCAGAGGTACGGTATTACTGATTTGTGGAATGTCTGCAGGAATGATTCAAATTCAGTTACTAACAATGAAATTATTTATTCGAAATAAGAGGCCAATACATAAATGCACCCGAATATTCATTGAATAGTTTGTCTCAGAGATCCTAAATAAGGATTTCTGAAATAAACGATGGAGTAGGTTAAGAAATAGATAGGATAAATGTATATAATATATAAGTATTTTAATGAAATACATTGTTATGAAGAGATACAATAATAAATATGTTCATGTATGCATAGTCACTGATGAATGCGTAAGTATTTTTATATACTAAGATAAGAAATAAATGTATTTTACATGAATTTATTAATTGAATATTCCGAACTTCCTTATTTTAAATATGCAGAAACCGACGGAAAAATTTTGAAAGATCCAAACCCCGGAACCTTTGGCTTAGCAAGCTGAAGCTTTGCGCACTATGCCAACAACTCCCTCTCTATTGTCCCTGGTCGGTTTTCTATTCGGGTATGGAGGATAGAACCCCGATACTACAAATAATTAATTTTCTTTAAGTAATTTATATCATACAGTCTATATCTCGTTCTTCCATAGGCTTTGCTTCAATTTCAGCTATTGTTACAATACGATCTACAGTAATTAGTGACTTAGAAATACTAGTTATTACTTCATTGTATTTGGAAAAGAATTCATTTACACGACTATTAAATCCTTGAACAGCCTCATATAATTTGAGATATGTTAAATTTAAATCATTGAGCTTATTCGTTAATTCTGGCACATCTTTCAAATGATCACTTTCTAATATAGACATTAATTCTTGGATCTCTTTTAACATTTCATAATTTTGCTTAATCTCTCGTGTCATTGCTGATAAGAACTGAAATTTAGCTTCTACAGGTATTTCTGAACTTTCAACTAGTGGATCTAAGTAACTATTCAGTTCTGGTAATCGTTTTGTAATAAGATTTATATTCTCTCTTCCTGACATTGCAGATGAGATTAACGTATTCACATCTAAAAGATTATGGATTACAGAATTTTCCAGTGAAGTATCATTCGTCTCAGTTGTCTTCATAAGTCCATGTATTCTTTTCTCCAAATCAGTAATTCTATCCGCAAGCAATTCAATAGTTGCCATTCTAAGTATTAAAAAAAAAAAAAAAGTATGACATATCTGTGCATATATTTCCATTAATGAATTGTAACCTCAATGTAGAAATACAAATTTAACATACTGGACTTTACATGGACAATTTAGTAAAACATACTTATCCTAAGAATTGTGTTAACATTTTTTTAGAGGAACTTTTTATACTTACATTGCTTAGCATACTATTAGTTATAGTAATAAATATTAGCAACTACTATATAACCAATAATTTCAATGATATACTTTATACAACGTCAACGTTGTTTTCAAATGATATAAAAAATTACAATAACTATTATAATTTTATATAATAATACTTACTCGAAAAAATTTAAGAATTCCGGAAATATAACTTCAATTTACACAATAGATATGTACAAACAACAATATTTATACAAATATAACTGTGATTTAAAACACAATTATTTGACAGATGAAATTAGGTTGTGCTACACAATTACGTTCTGAAGTGATGCAACATCGAACTACACTTGCCAATAAAGCAACCCACTTCAGGATTATCGAAAAATGGCGCTAAACCGAATATGTCGCAACTTTGAATTTCTATACAATGCCTAAATTTATTCAAATTTAAAAACATTAACGTGGCTTTTTTTGTATAATTTCCACCCATTACGTTTTAGTCATTTCAAATGAAAATCTTACTAATGCAATTATTAGAAAATACAAAACGTATTCTACTGTTCTTCGCGAACCAGAGAAGGCAGTCGGAATCTTTGAAAATGATCATTCTTTGCACAGCTGGAAAACTTACCCCAAGCCGCCAGAGTAAAAAGACAAAAGGCGTTGCTTTAAATAGACAGGCGGTGGCAATGCATAAGTATGCGTATTATAAGCGGTTGCACCCATGTACACTTCGTAAGTTCGCACTTTTAAATAAACTCTCTCGTTCTCCCCACTTCACTTTGAGAAACTGTTACAGACGAATACCAGACAATGTCCGTAAGAGAACCCCGACGGGCAACGACTATACGGCGAGGAGTAGCGGAGACGCGTGGTAGGGATACGGAGTATCTGTCATGGCCGACATTCGCTGGGAGCGTAGTTTTGATCAGGCCGCATCGGCGAGCGGTACGCGGTGTGTTCAGTGGTGAAAAAAACATGGGGCAAGATAATGGGCAGACGGTCAAGCGAAGAAGGCGTTAGCGAACTCGCGGTCCTAGTAGAGGACGATTTATGCGAGAGGTCCGCGACGATGGAGTCACGAGCACGGAGGACTCGGTTACGTAGCGTTGTAGGGATATGTTTGTTTCTCGCGCTTACGAGCATCATTTATCTCGGTTACTTCTGTCCGGATCACGTATGCGCTCTGACGAGCCGCGAGATCAAGGAGTCCGAGAGATTGTCTGAGAGTCTGTCCGCTGGTCCCGGCTCCGGTTTGTCTTCCGTCTCCGTCGAATTCGACAAAAATGGCCTGCTTTCGGTACATCCTGCTTTTAGATTGCAGAGCATTCAGGGGAGCCTTGGTTACGATGATGTGTTTACCAATGATACTTTCCAGTTTGACATCAATGGTCACGATGTCATCGTTTTCTTACATATTCAGAAGACTGGTAAGTATTGTTGATATTTAGAGTATAATTTTTTAGTGTCCCTGTGTTAGTTCTACTTTTTATTTTTATCTTTGAATTTAATTTATAGAAGTATGAGATAAAATATAAAATTAAGATACTTGTTGAAATAGAAATCTAGTATACAAGTTGCTCACATTTTTCTATTGCTTCTGTCATGATATAAATTCCTTTACCTATGACAGGTATCATGTTAGTTTATTTATTTCTTAAATTTTGATTTTCTAATAAATTATGTTGTTAGAGACAAAATTAAAAAATTATGTATAATATAAATTTCATGGACCAAGTGATCTACAGATTACGAAATGTCTGCATAAATATATAATTTTGTTTTATTTTATACTTTGATTTTTTTGGATGAATGCCAACCAATCCTATGGCTCAATAAAAACAATGCAACACCCCTTCTGACCATTGTACAACTGAATCTTTGCATTATTCATCAGGCACTGTGAAACCTCCAGGCTCTATCTTAGAAGAAGAAAGAACAATTCAGGGATGTTGCCTTGTTTAATATGCTATGCATGCATATCCCTGTTTCCTTTTTGTTTTCTATGTGCATGCTTCCCATAAGCTTTCCTTTATCAAGATACATTATAATGGGATATGTATGTCATAAAAATTTGTGTGAATTGTCAATATATATGTTTCAGACAAAGACATTGCTGAGAAAATATAAAAAGAAAACATTCCTATTACAAGAGGAGATCATATTTGTCAATTGTTATATATGCTTTTATGTTACAGGAGGTACATTATTTGGAAAACATTTAGTTAGAGATCTAGATCTGCAAAGACCATGTTCTTGTCAAAGAAGACGTAAGCGTTGTTTTTGTTTCCGTCCAAATCGCAATGAAAATTGGCTTTTTTCACGATATTCCACTGGCTGGAAATGTGGTCTACATGCTGACTGGACTGAATTAACTAGTTGTGTTGATACTGAGTTAAATAAAATTGAGGGGGATGGAATAAAACGTAGATACTTTTATATAACTATAATAAGGGATCCTGTTGCACGATACTTGTCTGAATTTAGGCATGTACAAAGAGGAGCGACATGGAGGGGAGCCCGCCATTGGTGTGGTGGAACCCAAGCAAACATACCACAGTGCTACCCAGGGTCTAGTTGGCAAGGGGTCTCTTTAGAACAGGTAATATTATATTTGAGATTTCATTGGTATTTGGTAATTTGGAAGCATCGTTGTATTTTAGTATTCTCGTGAATTCATAACAGTGACTTCTTTCATAAGTAAAACATTAAGTATGTTACGTAAATGGCTTTCATATTTAGAAACACATTAAGATAAGCATTTTTCCTTATCTTGTGTCTCCATTTTTTCCTCTATTACATAGATATAAATTTTCCTTGTATTATCTATAGATACATTTTCTCCCATAAAAACAACAGTTGCTTCATTAAGATAAAAATTTGAAATTTACAAAAAATTTGTCTTTGTCTATATTGAATGATAAATACTATATACCTAAACAGAAATAAACTATATGATGAGAACAGAACAAAATTTCATTTACAAATATGAATTCAAATCTTTTTGACAAACAATGTTATTATTTATGTAGTTTATGGCGTGTCCATATAATTTGGCAAGCAACCGCCAAACAAGAATGTTGGCTGATCTATCAATTGTTGGTTGTTACAATTCTACGCTCAGCAGCTTGGAGAGAGATCGTCTTATGTTGGCTAGCGCTAAACACAATTTGCAATTCATGCCTTTCTTCATGTTGACTGAATACCAAAAAGTAAGAACTAATTTTTTTTGTTAATAATTAAATATGCATGTTCATATGTTCTTGCATTGTTATTTGTTACTGTAACAATCTCTAATAATTCCTTTAGAAAATAGTTTCATTCATTCTCTATTTCACAATATCATGTAGTCCCATTTAAAAGTTCCTTAACCCTTTAACAGTTTATCCCGTGACAGTCACGGACAGAGCGTCGAGTACCGAACAGTTTATCCCGCGACAGTCACAGGCACGGCAACACGCCCAAACTTTTTAGTCTACCATAGATATCAAAATTTCTTATTGCTAATTAAGATCAACCATATAGATTCTGTGTAGTGTGTTCTTCAAAACAAATAAATGGAAAGAAAGTCAGGAAAGAGACGAGATATTTTTGTTAGGAGTGTGACGTAGGTTTGTGTATCCGGTGTTTCAAAATCTATCATACACGGCTTAATTTTTAAAAAGGTACGTGCAAAATATGCTTTTTTCCACTTTTTACGGCAAACCGAAGTATTTTACAACTTAAAAAAATATACGTTTTTTTAACAGGAATTTGTAATATTATTAGACTGTTAAAGGGTTAATATTTTACTTTCAAATTATTTGTAAATTTTTATTCACTAACTATTCAAATTTTGAAGATTATTTTGGCTTCTAACTTGCTTAAACAGTCTGTATTAACAAGACATTTTATATTGTACTGAAGAATCATCTGTTGAAAGTACCTCTTAATGTAAATATTTGTCTTATCCACCGTACATACATAGAGGATGAATATGCTTGTAAACACATCCCGTGCTTTTAACCTTTCAGTTTTAGAAAACTTCTTTTCTGATTTAACATGCATGAAAATTATACTTTTGTAGCGTTATTATTTAATTTCGTCTAACATAATTATAATCTTTAATTTTGACGAATCAAAAATTAACAATCGAACTAATGTCGTACAATGGAATCGGATTATTAATGTGAAAAATATGTATCTCAAAAAAATTCAATGAGTTCCGCCTTATATCACTACTTTTTTTTAGTATATACATTATGATGGGACAAGTTTTTGTTCCAACTTTGACCTTTTTGCTACTTGTAGCTCGCAGGTGTACGTGTTGTCCTTGTTATATTATTGCACGTATGGACAATTAATATAATTATCAGTAGATTGCATCTACATGATTTTACGTTGTAATGCTTGCCACTAAGTAATAGAAATATTCTATATTCTAAATTGTTGCTTTTGAGTATCGTATATATAAACTGTGATCGATATTTGTGATGAGACCGAAGGGGAATAATTTCTCATGCAGAAGTTAACCAAAAATTCAAACTAGAGTTTATTTTTACTATTTCCCATAAATTGAATCGTTTCACTTTTAAAAAATATGGTATTTCAACGTAACTATTAAACAAATTTTAACAAATTTCACTCATATTGTATTAGTTACGCTAATGATACGTAAATGTTGAATATACACGTAGTCAACGTACTTTTGAAAGTGTTTCTTTTTAAAACATGGTTTTCTTAAAAAAAAATTTGTTTCACAGTTTTTTTTTTACACAGGTTTCACAGCAAATTTTTATATAGGGAATTGCCGCTTCTATTCTCCCGCGAATTCAACCGTTTAATATATATGATACAAAAAAAAGTTCATTTATTCTGTTTGTTCTTTTGCACTCTATAACGTACATAAATGGTGTCAAATTAATTTAAAATCTAATAGGTGGGACAATATTCATTTGAAGAAACATTTGGAATGAGATTTGCCGTTGCGTTCGAGCAACATAACGCGACGTTGAGCGCTGCCACAATGGCTACCTTAAGTGCAGAACAATTAGATGCTGTGCGTAGATTAAACAGACTGGATCTGGAACTTTATGATTTCGCAAAGAATCTTGCGTTTCAAAGATTTAAACGGCTTAGAGATCGCGATCCATACTTCGTACAACGATTTCAACACCTTGGAGAATTACCTTCTAGGCAAAGTGCAACAGAATTCAATTGGGATTCTGTTATTGAAGATACTACAGATGTTGAATGATATGTAAGTATGTTAGTAGTAGATATTATTGATGCTTTGCATTCATAGCTAAGCAAATAAAATTGCTCTGAATCTGAGCATCTCAGGGAATCATCCTTGAAAGAAAAAAGTTTTACATAGAATTATTGTGTGCAGTTCTCTGCATGAAACTTACCAAAAGTGTTTATAGAAAATAATGTGGATAAGACCAAAGAGAGCTCAGAGGATCTTCGTGTAATGCTTAGACTCCTCTCTCAGTAGCTATATATAAAAAATATATAAACAAAATAATCACACAAATTTTTTTATGTTTTCTATAATGTTCATAAATTCTCTTTAAAGAGTACTTCCATTCAATGCAATTTTGCTTACAATGCTACATTTGAGCTTAATTTGTTGATGTTTTTATTTTGTATAGAATAGTAATTTACTAGTAGATTCTTTTATGTTTATTAAATGTCAATTCTAAGGGGGAGAAACACTATGATTATATCAGGTATTTATTTTTTGAACACATAAAAATGAATTAGATTTAAACAGATAGAACATAGATTAAAAACAATATGTTCTGCTAAAGTATAAATGATATAGTATTT